TTTTCAAAAAGAGGTATGTACAGCGCATTGCAGTAATCTAATCTGCAGTGGCATAGCTAATTTATTATATTTGAGACTGTAAGCATTGTTTTTGTGTTACTGGTTCTTATGTTTCTGCTTGTTTAGTATAAGCAAGGCTCACCAGCCCTTTTTGGACCGGTGGGCATTCTTAGGCGCCGGGTTCTGCCCAACTTTTTTGGGAGGGCCAGTGCATGTGCGTGGCGTCACACAGCGGGAGGAGGCAGTGAGGCCAGATGGGGCCCATCGCAGCCGAAGGGAGGCCCAACGGTGTCTGTTGCAGCCTTGAGAAGGCCCAGTGATGCGCACAGGAAGGCCTGGTGGGGCCTGGCCCCCTCCTTGATTTTTTGGGGGGGCCCTCGGCCCACCCTAGATGGTGCCCCTGGTTGAGAAACTGCCATGGGTGCCCATCACAAAATGGCTACTGTGAGGGCATGGTGTAATACAAAATGGCTACCACATCTGAAAGAGCGGAAGAAGAGAGGCAGGGCAGGAATGGCCCAGTCAATGGAAACGAGAACAGAAGAGAAAGAGGAAACTGTCCCACATCTATTACAGATCTTTGAGGGGAGCTTTACTGAGGACTTTCACAAGTACCTTAGGACATACTGCAGGGAGTGGGGCTGTGTTGGAGACCCCTGGCATAAGCTTTAATGGAGAGAGAGAGAGTTTATGCTGAAATAAATCTATTAGTCTTTAAGGGGCCACCGCACACCATGGTTGCATTTTCTTGCAAGGACTTCTTAGACTTTGGAGCAGCTGAGGTTGAACCATTGGTAGTTTTCCACTGATGCTTAAATGTTATCGAAGAACTTAAAAACCTAAGAAGAACTTAGCTGCTGGATCAGACCAAAGGGGACCCATCTGGACCAGCATCTTGTTCTCACTGTGGCCAACCAGATGTGCCTTACAGTTTTATATACCGGTAGTTATTAAAAAACCCCAACTGTATTATTTGCTGCCCTGGAATCTTTTGGAGCTGAAAGTAGGGGAGATAATATTTCTTTACTAAATCTCTGCTCCTCTTTCTCCACCCCCCAAACAGCCAAACTGAGGTTCCAGCAACAGATCCAAGAGATCTGCAGACTTTCGAAGCAAGGACCAGAAAGGAGCAGGACTGAGTGTTTGGTTCCCCAGCTCTCCGCTAACCCGGACCAGGATGTGCAAAGCGCTCATGGATGCAACAGCCCTGTGCCTTCGCCCCAAAGGAACGAACTCACATCCTCCATTGGCGGCAGAGAGAACTGGCCTGCGGATGCACAGGACGCTCAGCTCCACTCTGGTGCTGAAGAAGAGCAAAGCCGTGTCTCTTCTGACACGTGTGTCGCACATTTGTCAGTCACAAGCTCTGCTGCCCATGGAAATCTCCTCTCGGCACGGCCTCTCCCCTCGCCCCCGGGGTCCTCCGGCCCCACTGTGCCTTCTGTAATGCTGTCGTTGCCCCCCACGACTTCCCACCAAGAAGGCCAGGGCCACCTGGAGGGCGAAGGGACCTTGCCCAGCCCCCGGAGCTCAGCTCTTTTGTCCCCGAGGCCATTTGGGTCCCCAAGACCATGGTCCCCCTTTAAATTCAGAGGGAGCCCCGAACCTTCAGAGGACTGAACTGAAGGAGAGCTGGAGAAACTCTGCCATATTTGAACATTAGGAAATTCAATGGGAAGATCACTTAGATCAGGGGTAGGCAACCTAAGGCCTGTGGGCCGGATGAGGCCCAATCACCTTCTCAATCTGGCCCCCAGCAGTGTGTTTTTACATGACTAGAATGTGTCCTTTTATTTAAAATGCATCTCTGGGTTATTTGTGGGGTCTGCCTGGTGTTTTTACATGAGTAGAGTGTGTGCTTTTATTTAATATAGAATAGAAATAGAAATACTTTATTGTCACTGTACCACTTGTTTACAGTAAGATTAAACGAGCCCCTCCACAATCTCTCAGTCCTTGTTACAGACTGTGTGTTGTCGTACGACCACCAACCCTGAACATCAGCTGCAATGTTGCTGTTTTCCTTTCAGCAGCCTCACGGACCATGGGTAGAAATTGTTCTTTAACCTGTTGGTGCAGCTTATAATGATTCTATATTTCCTGCCCGAGAGCAGGAGATTGAAAAGGAGCTGGCCAGGGTGTGAGCTGTCCCTGAGAATGTTCCTTGCTCTTCTGAGGCAATGGTCTCCTGCGATGACATCTAGCAGACTCAGGGGACAGCCCATGATATCGTGTGCATTCTTCACCACCCTCTGTAGGACTTTATAGCTCTCAAACCAGCATACCACATCGTAATGCAGTATGAGAGAACTGTATTACGGTGCATCTCTGGGTTATTTGTGGGGCATGGGAATTCTTTCATTATTATTTTTTCAAAATATAGTCCAGCCCACCACATGGTCTGAGGGACGATGGAGCAGCCCACGGCTGAAAAAAGTTGCTGACCCCTGGCTTGCATCATCTGGGGAGAGTCTCCTTGCAGTATTATGCCCTGCAGGGTGTCACAGGGCGGTGACTCCCAAATGGGCTTTTCTGCTGTCGTCCTTCCACCATGAAGCAGCACCCATCTTGCTGAGACACCCCTTCTTCTCCCCCAGGCTCTTCTGGAGCATAAGGCCAGTTTTTATCTGTAGAAATTCCCTGAATTCTTGTTTCTGCATGCTTTCATACTACTTTTTTTACTGGTTTTGTGTGGTATTTTTGTAGGACTTGTCTTATTTTTGTGGTTAAATTGTTTTTCATATTGTGTTATGATCTTGCAACCTGCCCCGGAATCATCCCAAATTGTAGGCCTACAAAGGTCATTTTATGCAGGGTGGAGGAGAAGTTTGAACCCTCCCAATCTGCCCTTCCCACTTGGCTTTGCTGGAGCCCTGCACTGCAGAATTTGAGGCTGCATTTCAGTTTGACCCTTGTTTCACAAAGTGTGAATTGGTCAGGTTCACCTCTAAGTTATATAACCTTTAGGAGACATCTGAAGGCAGCCCTGTACAGGGAAGCTTTCTGAGGTTTCATGTTTTACTATGTTTTTATATATATGCTGGAAGCCACCCAGAATGGCTGGGGCAACCCATTCAGATGTGCGTAGTACAAATAATAAATAATGATTATTAAATGTAGACTGTATGAGCACTCTCTTGCACAGGCTCCTGTTTCTGCCTTTGAGCCATCCTCTTGGATCTTAGCTGGCTTTATAGAAGATACGCAGACACTGATTATATCCCCCCCCCCCTTTTGGGTTATCTGACATGATCATGACATGTCCAAATGGCCCAAGGGGGAAGCTCAGGATCCCTCCCACCTGCTGAAATCTTTCCAGTCACCACCATATAGAGAAGAACACACACACCTAGCTCAGCTGCAGCAGGGCAAAAGCTTGTCTCCTGGCAGGCAAAGGGCAAGAACTTTGTGGCAAAGCAGACTGAGCCAGTGAGCTGCAGGGGTTGAGCTGGAGTGGGGAACCTGTGGCCTTCACAATGGCACTGTGCTCCAAATCTCATCGAGCCTCAGGGCCAATGGGAGCTGGAGCCCAGTGACCCCTGGGGGTCGAAGGTTGCCTTTCCTAAAAAGGACTGAATTAGGAAGGGAAAAGAGAGGAGGGCAACCAGGATGACCAAGGGCCCAGAAACCAAGCTTCATGAGGAATTGAGGATGTTAAGTCTCCTCTTCTCCAGGCTAAACATGAGGCGACATGAGAGCAACCTTCAAATACCTGAAGGGCTGTCACAAGAAGGTGGAGCAAGCTTGTTTTCTGCTGTTCCAGAGGGTAGGACCCAAACCAACAGATTCAAATGACAAGAAGAACTTCTTGATGGTAACAGCTGTGCAGCTGCAGCAGACTCCCTTGGGAGGTTGTGGGCTCTTCTTCCTTGGAGGTTTTTAAGCAGAAGTTGGACAGCCATCCGTCAGGGATGCTTCAGTTGCAATTCCTGCATTGCAGAGGGTTGGACTAGATGACCCTTGGGGTCCCTTCCAACTCTACAATTCTGTGATTCTCTAAGGACCATAACTCAGAGCCACCTGATTCAGAAGGTTCAGTCTGCAACAGCATCTCCAGGTGGGGCGGTGAGAGACCCCTGCATGGATCCCTGGAGAGCCATTGCTGCAGGTCGGTTTGGACAATATTGAGCTGGATGGACCAAAGGATCTGACTAAGTACAAGGCAGCTTCTTGCATCCCTCATAGTACAAGAAACTAGAGTTCAAATCCTTAGAATCATAGAATCATAGAGTTGGAAGAGACCACAAGGGCCATTGAGTCCAACCCCCTGCCAAGCAGGAAACACCATCAGAGCACTCCTGACATATGGTTGTCAAGCCTCTGCTTAAAGACCTCCAAAGAAGGAGACTCCACCACACTCCTTGGCAGCAAATTCCACTGTCGAACAGCTCTTACTGTCAGGAAGTTCTTCCTAATGTTTAGGTGGAATCTTCTTTCTTGTAGTTTGGATCCATTGCTCCGTGTCCGCTTCTCTGGAGCAGCAGAAAACAACCTTTCTCCCTCCTCTATGTGACATCCTTTTATATATTTGAACATGGCTATCATATCACCCCTTAACCTCCTCTTCTCCAGGCTAAACATGCCCAGCTCCCTTAGCCGTTCCTCATAAGGCATCGTTTCCAGGCCTTTGACCATTTTGGTTGCCCTCCTCTGGACACGTTCCAGTTTGTCAGTGTCCTTCTTGAACTGTGGTGCCCAGAACTGGACACAGTACTCCAGGTGAGGTCTGACCAGAGCAGAATACAGCGGCACTATTACTTCCCTTGATCTAGATGCTATACTCCTATTGATGCAGCCCAGAATTGCATTGGCTTTTTAGCTGCCGCGTCACACTGTTGGCTCATGTCAAGTTTGTGGTCAACCAAGACTCCTAGATCCTTTTCACATGTACTGCTCTCAAGCCAGGTGTCCCCCATCTTGTATTTGTGCCTCTCATCCTTGCTCAGTCATAAACTTTCTGAGGAGATTTTGAGCTGGTAGGTTGCCCTCAAGTCTAACCGACATCACTCAAAATAAGTTTATTGTACTAATTGAAGGCCATGACAATTCCATACAATCATAATCAGTTTAAAATATGACTCGGACACCTGCAAATAAAAACAGCAAACATATAATGTGAGATATCTGATAACAGGGATGCCCCTGTTTCAGTTTAGTGCTCCAAATTCCCCTCACTTTTCCCAGCTATTTTACCCAGGTGCTTCTTCTCGATCTAGTTCCCAGTGCAGTGTGGTCCCTCAACAACCCCTGGACCCTCTCACTCAGAGACAGCTGCTATCCAGCACAAACAGGGGTTTGCAAAAAGTGCCTCTTTGGATTTGCATGGAGGGGATAAGTTAACATATAGTGAGAAACATCTTCCACATGGCATTGCCCAATAATACAACCTCACAGGGTTGTTGAGAGGATATGAAGGGGAGGTGGTGGGGAGATCGGTGTGTGCAGGCCCTGAACCCCCTGGAGGGAAGGGTGAGATAAGGGAATGAAATAAGCATGTTCTGAGAAGGAATGCAATAAAGGCTGTTAATGGGCAATGCATGTGCTTTATACAGAGAGGCTCTCCTTGCAGAGCTCTGTCCATCGCAGCCTCCAGCACAACCGCCCTTCCAGGCTGCCTTGCAACAATGCCCCCAGCACCTTCTGTTCTGACATTTCTGTTTGCACCCAGCTGCCCCAGTTCAAGTTCCTCCTTGTTGCAACACCAGCAGGAGAGCAGTCAGCACCCCACCTAGAGCAGCAGCGCCATGACTTTGAGAACCATCCAAATCTAGCTTTGCTGACGCGGTTTTCAGTTCTCTTTCGTTATGGCTGGCAGCCAAAAGTTATGCGTATGATGCAATGCCCCAGAAGCTGCTGCTGCTGCTGCAGTGGATCTTAGATCTGAGGTCAGCGTGCCTGGTGGAGGTGGGGAGCGTTATGGAGGAAGAAAGCTTGATCCACCTGCTCTTTCTGCCTTTGGCTGTCCTGGAGAGCTCGCAGTCAACTTTTCAACCCCAGGGTTTCTGAAGGGCTCTGAGCAGCATCACCTCTCTTTGGGCAAAAAGTCCCTGCCTTGGCAGGACTTGGAACTGGCTTGGATTTCTCCAGCTGGACTTCCTGCAGTCCCGCGTACCTTAAAGGTGTCGCAATGCCAAGTTCCCCTCAAACCTTCCCTGGCCTCCCATAGCAGAGGAAGGCCATTTCTCGCAGGGTGCCATTGCTTTGGCTGCCATCCTTCGCCATGACAGGCAGACAACACCCCAGCAGGAAGATCTGCACACGCATCTCAAGGGCAGAGCTGAAAGCCTTCTGACTGAATGGCATGCCAGCGAGCAGATTCCATGTTCCCCCGGCTGCACATCTCCTTCCAGTGGACCTGCCCCATCTCAGGGGCCACAGGACCGATCAGCACTCGGCCAACAGCGCAGCTGCGGGTGTAGAGGCGAGCCTGGGACAAGATGGAGGGGGAAACAAGAGTCAGGAATAGTTGTGGGGGACCTTAGAGCTGCCCTATAGCAGGGCCAGCCCATCCTGAGACGGACTGAGGCAGCCATCGCGGGAGGTGGAATCCAAGCCCTGCCACACACACACACGCACACACACACCCCGATGCCGGATGAGTGAAGAGAACTGACTGTGGCTTCCAGCAGGGCTCTCTTGCTGGTGGCACCCCTCCCATGCACCCTCCCGCTGCTGCCAGAGAAGCAAGGACAAAGCGGCAGCGACCTCCAGGTTCCGGCAAGATCCCCCAGACCCCATCAGATCCCACCAGAACCTGGAAGCCGTCACTGCCACCACAGGACCCTGGCAAGCAAAGTTGGGCAGGGGGCCATGGCAGCACTTTTCCATTCACCTCATTGGTTTTTCCTGCCTATAGGAAATCTCAGCCCAAGCTTTTCCACCTACAAATTCCTTCTTGAGGAAGTGCACCCTCTTGTGTAAGTTGGCACAACAACAAGCAGGAATCGATGCGTTGTTTTGTTTCCTCCTTGGGCAGAAAGGATTCACTAGGTTCTCCTCCTCCTTTTATCCCTACAACAACCCTGTGAAGTAGGTTAGGCTGAGGGTAAGTGAGCTTCATGGCAGAGTGGAGATTAGAATCCTGGTCTCTCCTAGGTCCTACTCTAATACTCTAACTACTGAACCACACTGTATTTCTAAAACCTCATTTCCCTTTAGCTCAACTCAGTGGCTTAAGACATACCTCTTGACCCCAGATTTTGACACTCGAAGAGCATATTTTTAGGACCCCCAATATTTTTGTGACTGTAAATTGTTTGGAACTGTTTTTAACATTGTGTTTCAATGTTGTGACCTGCCCATGGACCTTAGGGTGAAGGGAGGATTTAAAAATCACAATAATAGATAAATAATAAATCTATACATTTGTACAACTGTTCAGCAAGTCCAGAAGTGTGGATCCAGAGTGGGCTGGGCTCAGCACTCAAGATCGTATGTTGCATTTGGGCCCAGGGAATTACCTGTGTGCCTGCACCTTTCAGGCCAACCCAGGATGCAAGCTGCTCTACCTTTGATTGCCTCTCCCCTGCCCCACAATGGGCTAGGACAGGCTTCCTCAACCTCGGCCCTCCTGATGTTTTTGAGACTACAATTCCCATCATCCCTGACCACTGGTCCTGCTAGCTAGGGATAATGGGAGTTGTAAGCCAAATAAATCTGGAGGGCCGAGGTTGAGGAAGCCTGGGCTAGGAGAAGGTAAAGGGACCCCTGACCATTAGGTCCAGTCGTGGACAACTCTGGGGTTGCTGCGCTCATCTCGCTTTATTGGCCGAGAGAGCCGGTGTACAGCTTCCGGGTCATGTGGCCAGCATGACTAAGCCGCTTCTGGCAAAACCAGAGCAGTGCACGGAAACGCAGTTTACCTTCCTGCCGGAGCGGTACCTGTTTATCTACTTGCACTTTGAGGTGCTTTTGAACTGTTGGCAGGAGCAGGGACCGAGCAACGGGAGCTCACCCCATCGCGGGGATTTGAACCGCCGACCTTCCGATCAAGTCCTAGGCTCTGTGGTTTAACCCACAGCGCCACCCGCGTCCCTAACATACTTTGGCTCAGATCTTCCATCCATTACCTGCATGACTGTGAACTCCAGGGACAACTGCTGTTCCTGGATGTCTCCGGCAGGTAAGCTGAAGAGGAATGGGGCATTCCACACGGGGTTGTAGCCCGCTATGGACTTGGTCTCCTTTGTGTCAATGACCTTTCCGTCGTGGCAGAGGTGGATCAGAACGTAGTGGTCTAGAAAGAGGAAAAGCAGAGGACAAGGGATGGGAGATGCAGGACTCCTCAAGACGGACAGGTTTGTGCCTGACGGCTGGAAGAGGCACACATGGTGACCCTTGGAGTCACTTCCAATTCCACCATTCTATGAAAGAAGGGAAACGAGAGAGATTCCTCTCCCCCCCCCCAACTTTGATAGGTGGACAGGACCGCCCACCACCTGATATAACCTGTCAAAGTTCAAAGAAAATTGCTGATTGGCATTTACAGCCATCGTCTTTGGAGATGTGCTTTCAGTGCCCATCTGTTGATCAGGAGCAGGGCCTGCAAGAGGCTCCCTATAATGGATCATCACCTGATCATCAGTCCCAGGGAGCCCCTTGGAAGCCTCTATGGAGGAAGAAAAGCTCCCCTAAGCTAGCATTTCCCACTCTGCAAAGAAAGCAGTTTCAAGCTGCAATTTCCAGAGTGGCTTAACAGTCCTGCCCTCTTCCTGGAGAACTCTGGGAAATGTAGTACTGTTAAGTACAGAAAAGGAGTCTCCGAACAACTCTCAGCACCCTCAACAAACTGCAGTTCCCAGGATTCTTTGGGGGAAGCCATGTGTGTTTAATGTGGTATCCTAATGCTTTAAATGCATAATGCAGACGGGGTCTGGGAGATCCCCATCTTAATTTGCTCACAGGTTTTTAAAAAATGTGTGTATATGCATACAGATTAAAATATGCAAATTTTGTGAAAATTTGTGTCCTGAGTCCTGTACCTAAATCTGTTAAGGTACTGAGCATTACCTGCACCAGATCCCAGTTTAAACACAGAATTATTGCATGTGGCGATCACAGAGGAAGGCATAGCTCAGTGGCAGAACATCTGCTTTATATGTAGAATGTCCCAGGTTCAATCCCCGCTGGCTCCTCTGGCAGGTACTCCCTGCCTGAACCCTGGAGAGCTGCTGCCAGTCAGAGTAGACAACACTAAGATATAGGGAGCAATGGTCTGGCTCAGCAGAAGGCAGCTCCCCATGTTTGTGTGTTCGTATACATGCGTTGGTACTTGCATCCTACCTGGTGTTCCCAGCATCCGGCTGACGCGTCCCAGGTTCTCTGCTTTGCGGACCAGAACTTTGATGCGATTGGCCAGAGCTTGATACTGGAGCAGGAGGAAAAGCTGCCCCAGGGACCTGGGCTGAGAGAGCCAAGAGGCGGAGCTCATGTCCTGGGAACTGTGGCACTGAAGGGGGAGAGAATGAACACGTCCTGGCATAGATAATACACACACACATACAGGAGTTAGCCAGCTCCAGTTTTATACTTCACATGGATTTAAGAACCTAAGAAGAGACTGCTGGATCAGGCCAGTGGATGCCCATCGAGTCCAGCATCCTCTTTGCACAGTGGCCAACCAGAAGCCTCAATGGGAATCCAGGAAGCAGGGTTCCAGAACAAGAGCAACTCTCGCCTCCTGTGGTTTTTGCACAGGTCACTTTGCGCTGCTTACGGCCTCTTTGTTGGGATGCCTGCGTGTCAAAGTCACTTGCCTAAGGCTTTAAAATGCTGTTTAGTTACAGTGATACCTCAGATTACATATGCTTCAGGTTACAGACGCTTCAGGTTACAGACTCTGCTAACCCAGAAATAGTGCTTCAGGTTAAGAACTTTGCTTCAGGATGAGAACAGAAATCATGCTCTGGCGGCGCGGCAGCAGCAGGAGGCCCCATTACCTAAAGTGGTGCTTCAGGTTAAGAACAGTTTCAGGTTAAGAAAAGACCTCCGGAACGAATTAAATACTTAACCTGAGGTACCACTGTATTTCACTTATATAAAACTGCATGAGCCTGCCCTTCAGGGGCCCACATACCCCCCAGGGCAGCAGCCAACAGGGGTTGGAATCCAATAACATCTGGAGGGCCAGTTTCCTAACCCTGCTCTAAAGGGAACACCCACCCACTATGGGCGTAGCCACGGGGGGGGGGAGCTGCCCCTCCCTAAATCAAGTAAATCATTACAAAATACATAACTAACCGAGGTTCTACCCTCCCCTGGAAATAAATCCTGGCTACGCTCATGACAAACATACACACAAATAAAACCAGCCCTTGCCCATCCAATATAGGGTTTCTGCCTGGACACTGAGGTCCAGCGCTGAGAGCTTTCTGGCGGTTCCCTCGCTGCGAGAAGCCAAGTTACAGGGAACCAGGCAGAGGGCCTTCTCGGTAGTGGTGCCCGCTCTGTGGAATGCCCTCCCACCAGATGTCAGAGAGAAAAATAACTACCAAACTTTTAGAAGACATCTAAAGGCAGCCCTGTTTAGGGAAGCTTTTAATGTTTAATAGGTTATTGTATTTTAGTGTTTTGTTGGAAGCCGCCCAGAGTGGCTGGGGAAACCCAGCCAGATGGGCGGGGTATAAATAATAAATTATTATTATTATTATTATTATTATCATCATCATCATCAAACTGTGCCCCATGGGTGACCAGTGGGATGTGAGAATTTGTGGTTGCAGGTTACCCACCCATCGCTCGGAATATTGGGGACTGGTTCTCAATTGCCTTTCTGTTGCTCCTTTTATTTCTTATATTACAATTTGAATTTTAGGGAACTACCATTGCTGCCCCAAGACCCTCAAGAGGTCCGCAGGAGGAGCGGGAATTGGGGGTCCCCCCCGGGCGGGAGGCGACGACTCCCTGGCCTCTGGGCGACGCGAGCCTCACCTTCGTGAGCGACAGCTCCTGGGCGAGCGCCGAGGGCGAGGCGCCCTGCTCGCCGGCCACCTGGGCGCAGGGGAACAGCACCTCGCCCACGAAGGCGTCCTTCCGACGGGCGAACGCCCTGGCGTACACAGCGAGGCGCAGCGTCAGGCCCGGCAGCTCCTGGCGGGCGCAGCCGGGGAAGCGGAGCTGCTGGTGGAACTCGGGGTGGAGGCTCCTCCGGCGCCGGGCGGTGCGCTGCGGCTCCGCGGAGCCCGGCAGCAGGCGCGCCTCGACGTAGCAGCTGCGGCTGGCGCCCAGGCCCCCGGGCAAGTGGGCGACGCCGACGACGTTCACCGTGAGCGTGGCCTCCGGAGGAGAGTAGCCGACGGCGAAGTGCAGGCGAGGTCGCGGCTTGGCCTGGGCGGCGGCGGGCAGGAGCCCCGCGACGGGGCGCACGGCGAGGGGGCTGCTGTCTCCCGCGGCAATGGTGCTCCGGCGCTGCGGGCCCCGGGGGCGCTGGGCGGGCGGCGCGCTCAGCCCTGGCGGGACGACGAGGCTGGGCAGGGAGGCGCGGCCGCGCAGGAGGGGCGTCGGGGGGCTGCCGTCGGGCGAGGCCGGCGCACGAGCAGCTGCAGCAGGCAGGCTCTCCAGAAGCTGCCCCGCCAGCTGGGCATACTGTTGCTGGATGGGCACCGTCGTCGTCGGAGAGGGCAGAGCGGGGCCCAGATCCACCAGGGGGCGGCCCGACGCCTGCGCCTCGCCGCAATCCGGGCGCCGCGTCCTCCGCCGGTGCCAGCAAATCGCGCAGCCGAGGAGCAGGCAAAAGCAGAGCAGGCTCAGCCCGACGCCCAGGAATACCTGTAAGTGCACTGAGCAGAGAAGAGGAGGACAATAATAGAATCTAGAGTTGAAAGGGACCCCCAGGGTCATCTAGTCCAACCCCCTGCAATGCAAGAATCAGATCTAAGCTGAAGCATCCCTGACAGATAGCCATCCAACCGCTGCTTAAAAACCTCCAAGGAATGAGTGTGCATTGTCTTACCACCTGAAAGTTACTCCGAATGTTAAGTCCAAATTTTCTTTCTGTTTGCAGAAGAGGGTAGTATTGTGGGAAAAGCAACTGCAGAGCCTCAAGGAGGCAGGTCCCAGTTTCAGGGGAGGGCTCACCATGGGCCATCTATTTAATTTATTTACTGCATTTATACCCCCACCTTTTTCTGCAAGGAGCTCAAGTTGGCTTACCTGCTTCTCCTCGCTTCCTTTAATCCCTGCAGCAACCCTGTGAGGTAGGTTAGGCTGAGAGGCCGAGACTGGACCCCCCCAGTGAGCTTCATGGCCGAGTGGAGATTCGAACCCTGGTCTCCCAGGTCCTAGTCTAACACTGTAATCTCTGCACCACCACTGGATCTCCATCTATGTACTCACTTCTCCACTCACAAGTAAGGATGGCCAAACATGTCCATTTGGGTTTTGCTCGGTTTTGCTTTTTTGTTTTGATTTGTAAGTTCTGTTCACATGTCCACATAAAGTTGCAGGTTTTTGAAGTATAACAAGTCACCTTGAAAATTATTATGCAATCTGTATGCAGTTTTGCCTAACATGCACATTCCAAATGCAGCCGCACCATAAAGGTAAAGCTAAAGGGGCCCCTGACCGTTAAGTCCAGTTGTGGACAACTCTGGGGTTACAGCGCTCATCTCGCTTTACTGGCCAAGGGAGCTGGTGTTTGTCCGCAGACAGCTTCCGGGTCATGTGGCCAGCATGACTAAGCTGCTTCTGGCGAACCAGAGCAGCACATGGAAACGCTGTTTACCTTTCCGCCGGGGTGGTACCTATTTATCTACTTGCACAGGAGCTCACTCTGTCACAGGGATTCAAACCGCCGACCTTCCGATCAGCAAGCCCAGTGGTTTAGACCACAGCACCACCCACATCCCATAGCCGCACCATAGATCTGTATAATGACATTGCACTATCACTATCGGCAGCTTTGGAATGTGTGGATTAGGTAGTACAGTATCTCCTTTAAGTGTGAACTGGATTCCTCCCCATCTCTGCTCACAACAGCTGGAACAAATTGGCAACAACAACTACCACTAAGGCTCAGAAGGGCAAGAGGGGCAGCTCAAAAGGAGAGTAGAGAAGGCAGGGAAGGGACCCCATCCCAACTCCCACTCTCTCCAAAAGACGCCTGCAGAGCAGCTGTGGCCTGATGACATCAGTTCGACATGTTTGCTCAGGAGCTAAAATAAAGCCAGACTCTCCTCAAACCAGATAAACCCCAGGGAAAGAAAAGCTCTGCTTATCAGGCCTGCAGTTTTGCTGACGCAGGGCTGTTGTGGAGCTAAGAGGCCCTTGCCTAGTCAAACAGCCCTTTGCAAAGCACTCAATCTGTGCTTGGCTTCCAGGTCAGCTGGCAGCTGACCCCAGAATGTGTGTGTGTGAGAGAGAGAATGTTGCATCGTCCCATGAGATGGGAGGAGGGAGGGCTGCAGCGCAAGGCTAGAGCGCATGCTTCGCATGTAGAAGGCCCTGGGCCAATCCCCTGCACCTCTAGATTCTAACAAAAATGGGGAAATAATTTTAGGGCTGGAAGGGATCCCAAGGGATCCCACTCAACCCCCGGCAGTGCAGGAACTTGCCAATGTTTCTTTCTTCGTCTCACGTCCAGAACAGAGTTCAGTCCAGAGAACACCGATAAATAGTGGCTGCTGCTGATGTTTGCAGACTGTGGCCCCCAGGATGTTGCTGGACTGTCTAGCTCCCATCAGCCCTGACCACTGGGCATGCTGGTTGAGGTTAATGGCAGCTGGGAGCCTCACAACACCTGGAGATCTGTGTTAAAAGGCTGCCTTTGATTTTTAGAGAATACAACCCATAGCTGACTTTTTAATGCTTTCCCGCTCCCTGAAAAGGGATGGGAAATAGAACCAGATACTGTAAAAACGTAGAATGGTAGGACAGGAAGGGAACCCAAGGGTCATCTAATCTAACCCCCTGCAACGCGGGAATCAAATATCCTAATGCCGACAATGTGATGTAGTAGCAACAGGCCCCATCTGCACTATACTTTGAAAACAGTATGGTATCCTTGACAAAGCAAACAAACAGCTATGACTTCCACCAAGGAATCTGGTAGTTTGTTAAGGGTGCTGAGAGTAGCGGGGAGGCCCCTCCCTCTGCCCCCCTCACAGAGGTGCAAGTCCCAAAGTGGTTTAACAGTCCAGCCCTCTTCCTAGGGAACTCTGGGACGGACCCATCTGGGGCCTTAGCTACATTACACCCTCGGAGCAATATTTTTGAGGAGCCATGGAAACCCAAAGAATCCTGGGAATGGCAGTTGGCTCAGGGCGCTGGGGCTAAAGGTTAGACCGTGTCCATTTTTTACTGAGCATTGATTCTGATTTGTTTACAGGGTGGTTATACGACAATGGCTGCTCACCCTGATTTGCTTGGGGGGTTGTCTCTCCATTAGTCACTTGCTCATCCCACACACTTTGCAATGCATCTTCCCATCACTTTCCAAACTGCCCACGGCCAGGATGCTTTAGTCCCCTTTCAACGCACAAAGCTAAGACACGAATCCCTCCTCCTGCAAAATGCTATTGCTCCAGATTCACCCATACAAAGGAAAATCATCCGCAGAATGCCCACCCCACAGGCTTAAAAGGCTCTTTAGTGCCACGTTAACAGCCATGCCTTCTCCCAAAGAATCCTGGGAACCGTAGTTTGTTGAAGGTGCTGAGAGCTGTTAAAAGATAAAGGGACCCCTGACCATTAGGTCCAGTCATGGCCGACTCTGGGGTTGCGGCGCTCATCTTGCTTTACTGGCTGAGGGAGCCGGCGTACAGCTTCCGGGTCATGTGGCCAGCATGACTAAGCCGCTTCTGGTGAACCAGAGCAGCGCACGGAAATGCCATTTACCTTCCTGCAGGAACGGTACCTATTTATCTACTTGCACTTTGACGTGCTTTTGAACTGCTAGGCTGGCAGGAGCAGGGACAGAGCAACAGGAGCTAACCCAGCCGTGGAGATTCGAACCGCCAACCTTCTGATTGGCAAGTCCTAGGCTCTGTGGTTTAACGCACAGGAGACCCCTATTCTCACAGTGCTACAGTTTCTGTGTGCTGCTCTGGTTTGCCAGAAGCGGCTTAGTCATGCTGGCCACATGACCCAGAACCTGTACACTGGCTCCCTCGGCCAATAAAGCGAGACGAGCGCCGCAACCCCAGAGTCGGCCACGACTGGACCTAATGGTCAGGGGTCCCTTTACCTTTTTTTACAATCTTCTTAGGAAACCATAGTTCCCATGATACTTAGGGGGAGGGGGAGGATGGAGGAGGAGGAGGGCATACTCACCATGCTGGTGTTTGTCTAGCAGGACCTGGACCAGCAGCCACAGGAAGAGGAGGATCACCAACCCTTCAATCATCCCCTTGCAGAAGAAAAAGATGATGGACTGGCAGAGGGACAGAGCTGGGAAGATGTGGTCCTGGAAGAGCGCCATCCCATGCCTTGCCCCAGATGGGAGTGAGAGCCCAAGGAGGGTCCTTGCTCACCTGAGCCGGGCACTTGGGGTGGACAGAGGAGGACAGTGGAGATCAGCCATGGAAGAAGAGCAAGGCAGCAGCAGCAGCACCCGGGGAGAGCTCTGCAGCAGGACCTGGCAGGCAGGAGTGGTACCCTAGGTGAGCTCCCTGAAGCAAGGTCCCTGGGGGGACGGAGGAAAGGGGCTTGTGGGGCGCAAAGGATCTAGCATCCCCGGAGCCTGCCTGACAGTGTGCAAGTCAACGCGTCTCTCTTTAAATAATCCAGAGCTCTGCAGGCAGATCCTCCAGTTCACACCACATCTATTCCGGTCCGCTTGAGGCAACCGGCAGTGACCCCCTTTCCTTCCTCCCCCCGCCCCCCACGGGTTGCCATTCTGCATCAGGAGCAACAAGACCAGCCACGCAGAATGTCATCTGCCTTGCAGGGCAGGTACATTATTGGAAGGCCCATGACCTCCCCAAAGGTGGGCTCCTTGCGAAACAGAGAAGGAGGTATAAATAGATCCTGGGCGAGAGATGCCATCCGCTTCGTAGATCTTGCAAGCAAGAGATGGTGATGTGATAAGACAGCTGTGAAGATCAACCTCGCCTTTCTGATAGGGAAGGCAGCTCTTTGATCTCTCACTTTTGTCTTTGGTGTTGAGAGAGCTGCCATGTAGATGATCATGCGCAGGGGGCGTTTTACTCCACAGAGATTACTCACCCGAGCAGAATTAGAATGGTAGTTGAACATGTAACTTCATGTAGGGATATCTTGTACTGCAATGCCTGTCCCTGCAGTGCTAACCTATAATGATCATGCAAAACCCATGCCCATCCAGCGAAGGCCCCTTGCAATGTTAGTTAAAAGCTTCCCATTTGCAGCTTCTGCCCCTTTTGTTGGGTGGCAATAGCATGAAAGATGAATAGCTTATTGGTCCCTCGCATCATCCATTAGCCCCTGTTTCTGTAGCAGGGGTGAATTACTGCTTTCCACTGTGTTTTGTTTATAGTGAAACAGTGTTATTTCTCATCTAAGAATGAAAACCATTTTTCATTGCACCCAGGAGGAGGCACGGTGGCCCTGAAAGTGCCTCCCTGCATGGCCCCAATCCACACTGAACACGTGATGCCTGGGGGATGTTGCGCATCATCTATGTGTGACGCAAGTGTGTCACAACATCACATGTCTCCCGACACTACGCAGCCTGGTGCAGCCTTCTGCAATGTTCCGCCAGCCAAATATTAAGGGGGCAGAAGACACCTCCGCCCCCTAGAGTTGGCATACCTGACCTCCCAGCAAGCAGCAAAACGCTCAGGGCGCCCCCAATCTGTCAGTCTTTTGCAGGAGGGATTCAAGTGCACAGCAGAAGTTTAGGTTTGTGCATTTCAAGTGGATGCAAGCTGAATAGGGTATTTTGCGGAATAGAGAGTGGCAGGGAAATGCCCTAAAAAGTGTGGAGCGAATGAATGACTAAGAGGAAGCTGCCTAAACACACTGTGAGCAAATCGGGACGGAGGCAGGACATATTCGCGTTGTGTGCCCTTTCCACAAAAAATCATAATGCTCAGTAAAAGACAGGGCAAGCTTTGGGCCAGCAAATCAGGGCGGATGCTCAAGAAACAGGTACTAAGGGAACGTATTACCTCTCATGGTGGGGCTCCCTGCTAATACAGACACTTCGGGGACTGGTATCCTCAGAAATATTCAAAATAATTTGGGAGCTCCTGCATTTCTCCCTCCATTCTTGTTTATTATACAGTGTACCTTGGGTTACAGACGCTTCAGGTTACAGACTCCGCTAACCCAGAAATAGTACCTCGGGTTAAGAACTTTGCTTCAGGATGAGAACAGAAATCGCGCGGTGGCAGCGGGAGGCCCCATTAGCTAAAGTGGTGCTTCAGGTTAAGAACAGTTTCAGGTTAAGAACAGACCTCCAGAACGAATTAAGTTCTTAACCCGAGGTACCACTGTACACCTCTTCAAAGGCTTGTCTCTCTTTAGCTCAAACCTGGAAGGTCTTAAAGGACCCACCCCCAGATTTATGGTCCAACAACGTTTGGCGAATGGCTATTGCTGAGAAAATAACACTCGTTTTAAAGAGATAAACAGAAAAATGGATAAACTATGCAATATGATGGCCTTTTGTTCTCCTGGAGAAGAGAAGGCTGAGAGGTGATCTGAAGAACGTTTGAAGGTAAGAGCTGTTGGACGTTGAAGTGGACTCTCTGTCATGGGTGGATGGCTGTCTGTCGGGGGTTCTTTTCCGGCGATTCCTGCATTGCACTGGGTGAGGCTAGATGGCCCTTGGGTTCCCTTCCAGCTCTACAGTTCTCTGATTCTATTTGCTTATCATCCGCAGGGCAAAAGGCTCCCCATCCTGGCCTACTGGATTGCAGCAGTGGGGGACATGGCCAAGGGCATGCCAGGAAGGGTGGCTCAGAGCCAAGAAATCTGACGCTGGCGTGCTTCCGCCGCCTCGGCTTTTCCAAGGGCGTGTGCAGACCAGCAGCAGAGGTTCAGGTGCCCTTTTTTCAAATTTTAACTAGTAGTTTTGTTTTATTCCTATTTAATTTAAACCCTGCCACCTCCCCAAATTTCTGAATCTTTTCTAACACTTTAGGGAGTGAAGTTTTTGGATCTTCTACTGTTATCACTAAGTCATCTGCATATGCTTTTAGTTTAAACTCACTTTCCCCAGTTTTTACACCTGTGATCTCTTTATCTGCTCTTACGTTTCTGGCAAGTACTCCCAGTACCAGGATGAACAACTATGGTGAATAGTGGGCATCCTTGTCTAGTTCCTTTTTGTATCTGACATTCATCCGTTATCACCTGATTTATAATTAATTTTGCTTTTTGTTCCGAGTAAATTGCTGGTATTCCCTATAGAAATTTAGGGCCACATTTAATTTCTTCAAGCAGCTTTGTCATGAATTTCCAAGAGACGTTGTCAAAGGCTTTTCCAGCATCTATAAACATCATTGCTGCTTCCTTTTCATTTTTGACCTCCAGGTATTCTATTATATTCATAATATTCCTTATATTCTCCTTCATTTGTCTACCTGGAAGAAACCCTGCCTGATCTTGATATATATACTCATTTAACATTTTTTTCAATCTGCTAATATTTTTGCAAACAATTTGTAATCATTGTTCAACAGGGAAATAGTAGCGCCTGAGCAGTGGACAAGGGTCCGAAGCAGAGCCCATCTATTTTTAGCTTATCTGAAAATCTACAACCATACAGATTAGGATTGTCAATGATTGTTCCCGTGTGCTCAGAGGCCAAGAGAAAATGTTCCAATAAAAAAGATATTTCACTTGCAGTTTCCAAGCTGCCGCGGTGGCAACGTCCTTGACTGGGTCTGGAGGGCTGACCTGAGATAACCTTGGGCCAGCTTTCCCTCTACGTCCCGCCCCTCCCTTGGGCTGCTCTAGGGGAGCATGATGTGGGACATGTCATGGTGACCCCAAGGACCTTTTCATCCATCCCTAATGGAGGTGGAGGAGGAGACCAGAGAGGAAGAGCACTAGTTCCACAGGATCTTCAATGTACCCAAACCCACATTGAGCCCCTAACCATTAGGTCCAGTCGTGACCAACTCTGGAGTTGCGGCGCTCATCTCATTTTATTAGCCGAGGGAGCCGGTGTGCAGCTTCCGGGTCATGTGGCCAGCATGGCGAACCAGAGCAGCGCACGGAAACGCCGTTTACCTTCCCGCCGGAGTGGTACCTATTTATCTACTTGCACTTAGACGTGCTTTCGAACTGCTAGGTTGGCAGGAGCAGGGACCAAGCAACGGGAGCTCACCCCGTCGTCACAAGTCCTAGGCTCTGTGGTTTAACCCACCGCGCCACCCGCGTCCCCTGGCCAAGGGTACCCTGCAGTAAATTGCCTCTGAACCTGGATGTGCTATTTAGCTCTCAGGGCTAGGAAGAACAGTGACTTTTTTATTCCTGCATTTATATGCAGCTGAATTCTAGATCAGTCCCTAAGCGTTTTCTGAAAAAAGACAACAAAATCTGTCTGTCTGTGTCTATGAATGATACACAATGGGGACCCCAGACTACGTTTTTATTGTGCTTTTGTGATTGTGCTCAGGATGGTTTTGAGGCAGTTCAGCATGATCCCATTTTGAATAGTGGGCTCTCCTTCTTTGGAGGTTTTCAAGCAGAGTTTGGAGGCCGTCTGTCAGGAATTCTTTAACTGAAATTCCTGCATTGCAGGGGGTTAGACTAGATGACCCCTGGAGTCTCTTCCAACTTTACAGTTTCATGATTCCATCAGGATCACAAAACAACTGCTAAAGCGTAAATCATGTGTGGGCAGTCTGGAATAAATCCATCAGTCCCAGAGGTCCCCTATCCGTGCTCTAATGTTGGGCCCTTGTGACCTCAACATTCTCTAACCCCCTACAGACCACACACACAACTGATACACATTTCCTTCCTCCACCGATAATTCTGAAAACTGCAGTTTGTTAAGGATGCTGGGAATTATAGTTCTCTGTGTGGGTGAACTACAGCTCCTTTTTTGGAGGGGAGGAAATGTGCTTTAACTGTATGGTGAGTGTACAGGAGTAAGAAGGTATGGGAGAACTGAAACAAATTTGTGTCACTTGTAAATTTGTGATATTAATTTATTACATTTGGTTTGGGTTTGAAATTCTGCTCCTATATGTTTGGCTGCAGATATGCCTCTGTTTTTGTTTTAGTTAGCATCTGGTATTACATTTTGTTGTGTTTTCTCATAAGTAAATATATCACAAGTAAATAATAAACAAAAACCTGGGGACCCCCCCCTCAAATTAGTAAATAACTGTAGGGTGCTTCCGCTGCCTGCCAACTTGCCTGGGATCCTGCAGCCAGAAGCAGCCTCTTGGCTGCAACCCCTCTGCGGCCCCCTCCTTCCCCTCCCTCTGAACAAAGCTCCTTGCTGTTCTGCTGGGAGAAGGGCCCTCCTCTCCCCACAAGCAAACAAAAGAGGCTCAGAGAGGAAATGGACTGGCCTCCTGCAGCCGCTCCTCAGCATCCCTCCTCCGCTGCCCACCTTTGCTGCAAGGGGAGGTCTATAACTCAGCGCTGGAGCACCTGGCCTGCATGCAGGAGGCTCAGTCCCCAGGAGCAGAATCTCCAGGAGGGGCTGGGAAGTCAGTCCCCTGCCTCAAACCCTGGAGAGTCGTTGCTGCCAGCTAGAGTAGACAGCACTGGTCTGAGTCAGTATCAGGCGCCTCTCAGTGAGCCAAGCACAAGCTACAAGCAGGCTGGCGCCGCTGTTTCAGGGTCTCTGAATTTTTGCTTCCTTGCTTGCAAGGCAGTTCTCCAACCAAGTACAGTGGTACCTCGGGTTACATACACTTCAGGTTACATATGCTTGAGGTTACAGACTCCACTAACCCAGAAATAGTACCTCGGGTTAAGAACTTTGCTTCAGGATGAGAACAGAAATCGTGCTCCGGCGGCGCAGCGGCAGCAGGAGGCCCCATTAGCTAAAGTAGTGCTTCAGGTTAAGAACAATTTCAGGTTAAGAACAGACCTCTGGAACGAATTAAGTTCTTAACCCCAGGTACCACTGTAAAATCCTGGTGCACTTTTCAGATAACTCAAATTCTTCTTTCTTGCAAAGTGATGTGGAAAACAGAACCCAAGAGTGGAAAATGGCTCAAGGCCTTTGCACTTCATTTTAAAAGAACCTTGTGCCCCAATAAGGGTCGCTGGCCTTGCTCTCCCCCATCCGCCCCCCACAATGCCCCCCCAAACCAGGCCTGTTAGTTTCCACTTACCTGCCTCCACAGCCTTGCTCCCAAAGTGAGCTGGGAGGATGGAGGAGTCCTGGAGCGGCCCTGGCAGTGCTGGCATGGAGGCACCTGGCAGGAACCAAGGGAAGGTGCCCAAAGCGTCACTGTGGAGAAGTTGAGGAGGAGGAGGAAAAAGAAAGAAGTGCTAGGTCCCCAGCTGGGAGCTGCTTAGAACTGGCAGTAAGGTTTGCAGGTGGCAGGTGCCTGTCGTTGGCAGCGCTGGAGAGCGGGGTGGCATTGGCAGGGTTGATAAACAGAAGCGAATAAAGCTCTCTAAGCCCACAGAGCTGAGCAAACAGGTGGAAAAAAAAATATTCTGGAGTGTTTACTCCCCTTCCAATCCAGGGAAAGGGCGGGCTCCCAAAGCAGAGGGTGGGAGGGAGGATGCCAGAACAGCGGTGGAGTCAAAGCCCATTCTTAAGTGTTTGCTGCCAGGGAATGTGGTGTTTGAGAGGCAGGATGGCAGGAGGGGCAGCCAAGAAGCAGGGTGGAGGAGCACGCCCAGCGTGAGGGGAATGCAAGAGGGCAGTGGCCAGGTCCACTTGGGTTCTCAGTTTTCCAATCTTCAATTCAGTTTCTCCACATTTGTGCAGCTACCCGGCTCAGTCAGCTCTGCTCTGCCTCTGCAGTTGGAGGTTGCAGTGCTTCTAAATACAGTGGTACCTCGGGTTAAGAACTTAATTCGTTCTGGAGATCTGTTCTTAACCTGAAGCAGGTTCTTAAACTGTTCTTAACCTGAAGCACCACTTTAGCTAATGGGGCCTCCCGCCGCCACCGCACGATTTCTGTTCTCATCCTGAAGCAAAGTTCTTAACCCGAGATACTATTTCTGGGTTAGCGGAGTCTGTAACCTGAAGCATCTGTAACCCGAGGTACCACTGCTGGAAACCACAGGAGGGAAAGTGTTGCTCATGTCCTGCTTGCTGGTTTTCCTTTGGGACATCTGGTTGTCCACTGTGAGAACAGCATCCAGGACTAGGTGGGCCACTGGCCTGATCTGGCCGGCTTTCCTTATGCTCTTATATGTGTTTTAAAGTCCTCATGAAAATGCACCAGCATCTTAGTGCACATTTCACCTAAAAGGCACATTTTTTTGGAAGCAATTTTGCCTAAAGCACATATTTTTGCAAAGCACGCCCCCTCCTGCCAAATATAATGCATTTTTGGATACCGCATTTTTCGCTCCATAAGACGCACTTTTTTCCTCCTAAAAAGTAAGGGGAAATGCGTGTGCGTCTTATGGAGCGAAGGCAGGCTGCGCAGCTATCCCAGAAGCCAGAAGAGCAAGAGGGAGAGCTGTGCAGCGCCTCTTGGTCTGCTGGCTTCCCAGCAAAGCAGGATGAGGGACGGAAGGGGCTCCATGTAAGGGCTCCCTTCTGTCCCTCACCCTGCTTTGCTGGGAAGGCAGCACAAGAGTCACTGCGCAGCTCTCCCTCTTGCTGTGCTGGCTTCAGCAATAGCTGCGCAGCTTGCTCTGGCTTTTCAGGGAGGTGGGAGAAGGGATGGAGGACAGCCTGTCAGTCCCTTCTCCCACCACCTGGAAAAGCCAGCAAGAGCCACTCTATCTTTAAAGAGCCACGCCGAGGGAGCGTGTCTGCGGCTCTTGCTGGCTTTTCTTGTTTTCCTCCTCTAAAAACTAGGTGTGTCTTATGGTCGGGTGCGTCTTATAGGGCGAAAAATACGGCATGTTATTTTCACTCATGGTTTCATTTTTCTGCACACTTTAACCTAGTGCATACCTCTGTGTACACGCTACCTGGATGGAGAACTGCACTGCAAAATTCAGAAAAGGGCAGATCATGAAGGATGGCTATGCTTCAGTCTGTGGATTGTTTGAGATGGTGCAAATGAGGCAGGTTTGCCTTTCAATGTGGAAAGAGCCAAATTTCTCCCTGATCTCCAATAATGGGGCATTACTGGACGGAGATATTGGGAGGGCCACAATTGGGGACTGTGCCTTTAACAGACCCCCCTCAACTTTCTGAGTGCATATTGCATGCAGAAAGAAAAGCTGGCAAAAGGGCAGGGTGGGGGGGGGGTGTTCCATGCTGGTCCCAATTCTCCCTGCCCTCTTTTTGCAATGCACCCGTTTGCTTCCATAGCAAACTCTCCACCAGGGTACCACTGGCTCATTACTGAAAAAAGGAGGCACTAATTTGCATAAACTTTGCATACGCTGATGTATATGTACCGATGCAAATTTAGAAATGGCTATAATTTATATATCAGCATTGTCCAGATTTGAGCACATAAAGCTTACACAGAGGTTAGATCAGGGGTAGGCAAACTAAGGCCTGGGGGCCACATCCGGCCCAATGGCCTTCTAAATCCGGGAATAAGCGTGTTTTTACATGAGTAGAATGTCTCCTTTTATTTAAAATGCATCTCTGGGTTATTTGTGGGGCCTGCTTGGTGTTTTTACATGAGTAGAATGTGTGCTTTTATTTAAAATGCATCTCTGGGTTATTTGTGGGGCATAGGAATTTGTTCATTCCCCCCCCCCCAAAAAATAGCCCCCCCATAAGGTCTGAGGAAGAGTGGACCGGCCCCCTGCTGAAAAGGTTTGCTGACCCCTGGGTTAGACTATCTCTGGTCTCTGAGTTTTGACTTGTTTGCAGGAAGGTCATACAACAAGGGGTGCTCATTTGGCACTCACCCCGATTTCCCTTTTGATATTCATTCATCCCACGTTTCAATTTATTTCCCTGTCACTTTCCAAACTGCAAAAAGAAAAGCCAGCTTCTTTTTAAAAGTGGATTTACTGCACAATTACTGTAGTTTTAGTTGTTGTTAATTCATCGTAAGGTCCCAGGGCAGGATACAACATTAAGACACAGTATTAAATTAATTGTGGGGGTTAAATGAGGAGGTAGAGAATTATATACACTGGTACCTCCGGTTGCGGACAGGATCCGTTCTGGAGCTCCAGTCGGATCCCAAGGTTTCCGCAACTGGAGGTGCCTGTTCTGTGCATACGTGCAGTGCAATAGAGCGCTACTGCGCATGCATGCACGGTGAACCTTGAAAATATACTTCGGGGTTTGCCACGTGCGTATCCCGAAGGATACATAACAAGAGGGGCACGTAAATAGAGGTACCACTATACTTGAGCTCCTTGGAGGAAAAAAGGTGGGTTAGAAATGCAACCGATCAATTCATAGAATCATAGAATTGGGACCCCGCAGGTTATCTAGTCCAACCCCCTGCAATGCAGGAATCTCAGCCAAAGTGTCCATGATAGATGGCCATCCAACCTCTGCTTAAAAACCTCCAAGGAAGGACAGTCTTCACTGGTCACCACCTTTATTGATTCAAGCAATGTTGATTAATTCAGTCAGTCAAGGGAAGAAACATGGGTGCAAAAAGGAGTAACACTCCTTGCGGGAGTTCCTTTAAGTTCCTTGCCAGTACTGCCATCTAGTGATAAGCGTAGAGAACTGCAAGCCAAGACGGCTTCTAACATGCTCTGAAATTGATCAGGGAAGAAGGCCTGCAAAGTAGGTCAGGCCTAAAGAGCCCAAGGTCACTGGTTCGAGGTCACTCATCGAAGGCTGTGCAGCCATGTGGGGTTTCTGAACCAAGCCTTCCACATCCTCCTACAAGTCTCTTAACCACAGCACCGCAGGGACTCATATCTGTGTTTCCTTATTGACACTTTTTTTTTTTTGGTAACTGTGCTCATCTATTTACAGAAATGCAACCAAAACATCAGCAGGCAAAAAAGCCTAAGGCATGGGTAGGCAAACTAAGGCCTGGGGGCTGGATCAGGCCCAATCGCCTTCTAAATCCGGCCCGCGGACAGCCTAGGAATTAGTGTTTTTACATGAGTAGAATGTGTCCTTTTATTTAAAATGCATCTCTGGGTTATTTGTGGGGCATAGGAATTTGTTCATCCCCCCCCAAAAAAAATATAGTCCGGCCCCCCACATGGTCTGAAGGACAGTGGACCGGCCCCCTGCTGAAAAAGTTTGGTGACCCCTGGCCCAAGAGAAAGAAGCACAACCCTCTAGAGCAGTGGTTCCCAATTAGGGGTCCGGAGACCCCTGGGGGACCATGAATCCATCCCTTGCCTCTCCCCAACTAATATTTTTTTGTCATTTTTGCATGGTAATATCAAAGATTTTATGGCCTGTTTTAGTAAATTGGCCAAACTCTGTTATGAAATCCCACTGCAGTAATAATTTTGCCCCGCCAATAAGCAGCAATATATCGCTCCTCTCCTGAGGGAGAGCAGAGCGTCCGATTTCAAGGCATCACCAATATCACACAATGATCTCAGCCAATAACACTGCTGATCTGAGCTGCCTTCCCTCACAGGGCAGCTGGTTGCCATCACTTCAAGGCACCGTGGCACTACCTTCCCCTGGCACTGAGGCAGACCAGCTTTTCTCAGCCAGCAGGAAAACAGCCTCTGCCACAGTAGACACAGCTTGATGCACCCACATCCCCATGTGGTGGAGGTGACTACACTGCTCCTCCTCTTCCCACCCACCCGATCATCCCCACACCTGATCTCCAATTTGACATTGTAATATACAGTGGTACCTCGGGTTACAGACGCTTCAGGTTACAGACTCTGCTAACCCAGAAATAGTACCTTGGGTTAAGAACTTTGCTTCAGGATGAGAACAGAAATCGGGCTCCGGCGGGGCAGCAGCAGGAGACCCCATTAGCTAAAGTGGTGCTTCAGGTTAAGAACAGTTTCAGGTTAAGAACGGACCTCCAGAACGAATTAAGTAAACCCGAGGTACCACTGTATTGGAATGTCACACTTTAACTGCTGATATAGCACAATACAGTGGTGCCCCGCAAGACGAATGCCGCGCAAGACGGAAAACCCGCTAGACGAAAGGGTTTTCCCTTTTTGAGTTGCTTCGCAGGACGAATTTCCCTATGGGCTTGCTTCGCAAGATGAAAATGTCTTGCGAGTCTTGAGATTTTTTTTTCGCTTTCCCCCACCTTTTTCTAAGCCGCTAAGCCGCTAATAGCCTTTTAGCAGCTAAGCCGCTAAGCCTTTAATAGCCGCTAAACCAATAGCGCTAATCCGCTAATAGGGTTGCTTCGCAAGATGAAAAAACCGCTAGACGAAGACACTCGCGGAACGGATTAATTTCGTCTTGCGAGGCACCACTGTACTGAAAACCTGGTACCAGTCAGCCCTAGTCTGTTTTTTTAGTACAATGAGGATGAATTTGATGAAGTGAAGGGCCGTGAGGGGCCAACCGAAGTTGTTGAGGTTTTTTTAGGATTTTACCCCAGGAAATAAACTGCCGCAGGGGCCACGGGATTACAACCCAAAACGGACTTTGTACATGCCTGCTATAAAGGAAGTCCAGGTGATTTCTATGAAATATCTGGGCCTTCTGACAGATTTCAGCTCATCAATCACAAAGGATATATCAGATGTGGTAATTCAAGGTGCTGTCTTTTCCCCAGTATTTTTACTGGGGTTTTTTATTTACTGACCTTAAAAGTTGTCAGCTCATAAGAAGTATTTATAGGTCAACAATTTTTGCTAGAGATAGCTCTCTGCTTAGTCTACCTCATAGAGAAAATGTGAAGAGAAAATGGACGGGAAGGGGGGACCCCGGGTACCACCTTAATTTCTAAATTTCCCAAGCGCAGGCCTAGGGAGCATGTGTCCGTCCAGACCATGGGCAGGCAAACTAAGGCCCGGGGGCTGGATCCGGCCCAATCGCCTTCTAAACGCGACCCATGGACAGTCTGGGAATCAGTGTGTTTTTACATGAGTAGAATGTGTCCTTTTATTTAAATGCATTTCTGGGTTATTTGCGGGGCCTGCCTGGTGTTTTTACATGGGTAGAATGTGTGCTTTTATTTAAAATGCATCTCTGGGTTATTTGTGGGGCATACGAATTCGTTCATTTCCCCCCCCCAAAATATAGTCCAGTCCCCCACAAGGTCTGAGGGACAGTGGACCGGCCCCCTGCTGAAAAAGTTTGCTGACCCCTGGTCCAGACAATGCTGGGCTCCAACTCCCATCCTCACTGGCCACTGGCTGTGTTGGCTGAGGTCCAACAACATGTGAAAGCCCCCCCCCCTTCTTAAGAGCGCAGAATGCAAATGCAATAGAGAGCAAATCAAGAGGTGTCAGCCCTGGCCATCGCTCCCTGGATGGGAGACCCCTTTGGGCCTCTATGGCACCTTGAGCTTCACGAAGAAGAACGCAGGATGTTCAGCATCTGGGAGCAGAGAAGGGGACTCATTTCTGTCCAAGACCCAGCTGTCAAAGCAAGCCAGGGAAAGGGAACCTGTGGACTTTCTAGATGTTGCCACCATCCCATCAGCCATGCAGAGAACGCCAATCCTGGCCTGACTACACTGGCTGCCAGTTAGTTTCTGGGCCCAATTGAAAGTGCTGCTTTTGACCTATAAAGCCTTAAACAGCT